TTCCCACCTCTGGCTTGTCCATTTGGTGCCCAGCCCTGGCCTCTCGGATGAGGCGGCTGATTCACTGAGGGCACCTTGCTTCTTCCTACTCTGTTCCCAGGAGTCTACCCTGTGGGGCTGCCCCGCTCACCACCACACTGGAGAGGGGCACTGCACATCCATGCCCAATGCTCAACTGAGGGCAGACTCAGCCAGGTGGGAGGACATACACAGAAATCTGCAAATGCTACAGATGAGAGCATTCTTGCCACCCTGCCCCCATCAGCAGTTGCTGAACTGTGAATTCTGGCACACACTCTTGTGAAGTGTGGAAAAGGTGAGGCCAAGAAGTTTTAAGTGGTTCTAACTTCCCTCCTCCCATCAATCAATACCTCTTTTTTTGATCTCCCCCCTCCCAACCCGGCTCTTTTTTTTTTTTTTTTTTTTTTTTTACAAACTTCCAGCTAGTGGAAGATTTGCCTTGAAGCAAATTAAGTTCAAGCTTCAGGTATCCCACTAGTAAGGGCAGACCTCTGGTGATTTTGTAGTCCTGATTCTCTATGCTTTGTCCAAGTTGCATAAGCCTGAACCCCTTCCTGGTTCCTCTCTGTAAAGCAAGCCCCTCTCCTTTACTCTGAAAACCCTTCCATCACCTAAGACCTTGGCTTCTGCTGTCCCATTTCTCCACATTCCCCCCACCACTCTCTTTCTTGTCCTAGACCCTTTCCTGGGGGCTGGAGACACACCCAAGTACCAGCTAAATTTTCTTTAAACCTCGTATCTTTATCACTACTCTCATCCAATCCCTCCTGGGTGTTCTCCAGTGGGTCCCACCCACCCTCTCACACTCACTGCCAAATGTATCCAACCAGGACCTGTGCTCACTCCCTCACTCCCTAATGTCCCTGCATCCAGCCCACCCCCACCCCCCCACCCCGCCTATTCTTCCATGAAAGTTCACTTACAAAGCCCAGGACGAGTCCACTCAGCTGTCTCCCTCTCCTCGAGACCCTTGCCCTGCTCATTTTCTCTGCTCCACCGCTGTCCTGATTCTTTCCTTTCTCTACGATTTCTCACCACTTCCTGGGAAGGGTTTTGTCCTCAGACCCTTCCTCCCCAGAGAGATCTCATGGAACCATACAGCTTCACACTTGCGTGAGCCAGGCACTCTTAAACCTGTCATTTAGGCTTTCACTTCTCTCCCAAGCTTTCAACAAGCTGCTGAAATCATTGCATTGTTTTTATCACCACAGCCACTCACAGCCCTGCTCCTTGAAGCCTTCCCTATCTCTCATCCCTATCTCTCACCCTTGGAAACAATCGCTCCTTCTGTTAAAGAAAGGTAACATTTGACATGTTAGCTCTGAGGGGTTCTGTCCATACCTTCCCTATGGAACACATCATTTTCTACATAGAAACGTCTGGTCTGCAACAGGGTTCCCCAGTTCCCTGCCCCACCCAAGGAGGTGGAGCTGAGCAGGAAGAGGAGAAGCAGAAGAAGAGACTGAGAAGGAAGCAGGATGGAGCCAGGAGACCTGGAGGAGGCGCATGGAGCCTAGAGACACGTGAAGAAACTGAGCTTGTCTTTTGGTCATGGACTGGGTGACACAGATGTGGGTGAGACCCATGGGGAGGTGACAATGGCAGCTTTTACTTGATGTTGATTTTGCTCCTTTCCTTCCGGGCTTGTCCGGTTGTTTCTGGCCCTTTTCTGTGGGTCCCACTGGAGATGCTTTAGACTTGTGGCAGGCTTTGGGGCCGCTCTGGCCGACCCATATGGATGGAGTTTTACCCACGAGGGGATCTTTGGGTGCTTCATTTAGAAACTAGACTACCTGTATTGTTTCTAGTTTTTATAAAGTTCCTTCCCATTAAAGTGTCATATGTTTTGTGTTGATGCGGCGGATGGCAGAACCCATTTAGAATAGGCAGGTTAGATAACAGTCTTACTCTAACGTACAGGAGGGCAGGGTCAGTACATGATTCCCATGTGTTCCCAGGAATGCCTACTGCAGGCTACTGAATGTAGCTGTTATGGGATGAGATCTATCCTCTTTCCCAGCTTATATGTTGACATCCCAATCCTCAGGCCCTTGGAGTGTGAGTGTATTTGGAGAGCCTTTAAAGAGGTAGCTGAGCCAGAATGAGGTCATTAGGGTGGCCCCTGATCCTATAAGATGTCTGTCTTCGTAAGATGACTGAGATGCAGACACACAGAGGGGAAGACTATGTAAGGGCACAGAGAGAAGAAGGCCATCTACAGCCCAAGGAGAGAGGTCTCAGGGAACACCCACCCTGCTGAGACCCTGATCTCAGACTTTCAGTCTCCAGAACTGGAGGAAATTAATTAATTTCTGCTATTTGAGCCACTCGGCCTATAAAACCTTGTCTACAGCAGCCTGAGCAAACTAATACAGTAATAAGTAAAAATGTGTTGAACAAAGGGTCTCCATCACATTAGCCTTCAAAAAGGACTTCTTACTATCCAGTGACTACTTTTTCATCAGTATTTTCTACAGTCTGGCTACAACCTACCTTCTCAAACTTTTCTCCCAGGACACAGACAATCCTTGCCAACCTAACTGCTCTCTTCATAGGCCCAAACTCAGCCTCTGATAGGCTTTGTTCAAGATGTTGCTCCACCTGAAACATTTACTTTTCTTCCAAACCCCAATTCTGCCTGTATTTGTTGTTTGGCAACCACAATTTGTAATTTTCTGTTGTATGCCTCTCTTTTCTGTAACTGCAAGCTTCTTAGGAATACAAACTATATTTCAGACTTCTCTTTGCCTTCCACTGCCTGTAGCACATTGTCTGAATCGATAAATACTTGTCGCCCACAGAAGACAGCCTGAGAAGGGAAGGTGAATTGCTGAAGTCTGGGGAAACATGGTGCCTGCAGCTGGGAAGTATCACCTTAGGGTGACATGGACAACAGTATAAGGTTCTTAGGAAAGAAACCATAAACCATATGCAGCATAACCCACAGTGATAGGAACTTCAAAACTGACTCTAATGGAAGAGCCCCCTGCTTATCTTGAAATACACAAGTTCTATCTGAATTCTTCTTTTTACTGTCATTGTAAAAAGTGCTTCTAGGAGCACTTAGAAAAGTTTAATACCAGAAAAGCTTTGAACTACCTAATAGTTTCCCATATTTGGTTTTGTATTCCAGAAAAAGGGCCTGAAATAAATTAACAGAAAACTTTCCCACCATATGTTCTAATAATAAATTTATTTCCTAGTTACATACAGTGAGACTCATTAAACTTTAATAATAATATTTTTGTTTCTAGTAAATACTAAGAAACTTTCAGTGCACAGTGCATTCTTTGTGTTCCAAAAACCAGTGGATTTCATTCTGACACCTGGCTACCTGGGTAAAATAAATGGTGGGCTTTGTACTGGTTTAGATTTTTCTTGGTGTTATGACCCATGACCAGGACAACGTGTGCCTTGGGGCGTCTCTGTGGGAGTGATGAGAGATTTGTGGTCCCAGGGCCTCCCATTCTAGCTAGGTCAGCTAAAGGGTCCCACCAGCGCTTGATTTACCTTTGCTAAGTGAATCTGAATCTTATTTTTAGCATCCGCAGTCTCAGCAACGCGATTGGTGAAAGCCACGTTCACTTTGTTGAAATGATTCCACATCTCATTGGCAGTCACAACCAAGAGGTTTTGAATGTCGTCTCTTAGCTTGGCAGATGCTGCTCGTTCACTCTGGGAGCGGAGAATATTGTCATCCGTAAATTTGGCCCATGACTCGGGCACTGAGACCCTGCAGAAAGGAAATAGAACCAGACAATGATGGCGATGATTGATGCAGCTGGTCTGCCGGCAACTGTTCATCCGTGAAAGAGAAACCCCCAAGACACCGGTCCTGGTTTTATGCAATAAAACAAGCATCAGAGCAAAGCTTAATTGCTCCTTATTTAACTGCTGCTTTTCTGTAAAGCCAAAGTATAAATTAAGTCCTCTGCCAATTTAGGAGTGAAGGAGAGACAAATTAATGAATGGTGCAGGTATTTAGACTCATTACAACGTTGTAGGGCCTCCCTGGTGGCACAAGGGGCTAAGCACAGCCCTGTGAAGCTATGTGCTATCTGCAGCCTCTGCAGCATGAGTTTGATGCCTGGCTGGCCAGGGAGCTACCCACATGGCGCAGCAGACCACTCCTGTCTCACCTGCTGCTCCCCTCAGCAGTGTATTTCAATCATTCTGCCTGTTCTGTTCCCCACACTGTCTCTGGTGAATCCTCTTACCCCTGCACCTCTGGACTGTACCCCAGTTCTTGTATGCATAAATAAATAAATCTTTAAAAAAAAACAAATATGTTGTGCCAGCCTAATAAGCATTTAAAAAAAAAACCCAACCTCTCAGTAATAAAAGTGCTACTAATGAAAACAACATACCAATAACCCTTTATCAGAATAGCAAAGAGTGAAGAGAATGATAATTTGTTGTATTTGGATAAAGATTCTCTCATATCCTGCAGCTAAGAAAGTTGAATTGGTACAACCATGCTGGAGGATAAGAAGCAACAAATATGAATAATCCAGCAATTCTGCTTCTAGAAAAAAATGTATGGAGATACAATTGTTAGAATATTGTATTGGTTTCAGGTATACAACATAATTCAATATTTGTGTCTATTGCTAAATGATCACCACAACAAGCCAACATCCATCACCTCACGTAGTTACAAATTATTTTTTCTTGTGTAAGGACTTTATGACATCTATTCTCTTAGCAGCTTTGAAATAGTCATGCTTCATTTAAGGAATGACACTGTCAATCAACAACAGACCTCATTCATGACAGTGGCACCTCTACAGAGCCTAGGTGTGCAAGTAGGTCGTTCCATCCAGGTTTGCATAATCACACTCTATGACATTCAAACAAGACAAAAATCACCTAACAATATGTTATTCAGGACATGTCCCCATTGTGAAGCAACGCAGGACTGCATACAACACCGTATTGTTGACCTTAGACACCATGTTATGCATTACATTTCCAGGACTGAAAATGCAGAAAGCATCATAGATTTACACGTCATCCTTGTGCAGAGGCCATGCTCATCTTCTCTTTATCCCTCCAGTCTTACTTTCTGTGTTGCTGAAGTAAGCACTCTAGAAATTTATCCTAAGGAAATAATTTACCCAAAGTCCTATATGGAAGGATATTTGTTTTCAGTAATATTTTTGCCAATCCATGGAAAACAAGAAACCCAAATGCCCAAAAGTAAAGAAAAAGTTGATTAAATGATGGCACATTTAGAAAGGTATTTCATAGAGCATACAAATTCATATTATAGAAGTTTATGTTTACAATGTTTTTGATACATGATGAGGTGAAAAGTCAGACTATACAAGTGGTATGGTGTACTACCACTATTTAAAAATACAAATCTATATCTGCATGCTTGGAAGAATATTCTAAACACTAACAGTGAATTGTTAACATTGGATGTCTCGGGTGATAGGTTTATGGGCGATATATTTTTTGCTTGTTGATATGATAGGATATTAAAGGAGACCCTTACTGTTGAATAGAGGTTATAGCTCAGACCTGAAGACTTGAAATAACACCTCCATGCTTCAGACCCTAACGTTCTACAAGGGGCAGCTAAAGATTCATGCTGGAACTAGAGGAGGCTCTTCCTGGAGGGCTAAGTGGACAGTGTGAAATTCCATCCCAGAAAACTGCCTGACAAAGCAGAGGAGGCTGCTTCCTGCTCACCTCTACCAAGTACAAGGCATTTCACGGGGCCACTTAGGACATAGAATCTGAATTTGATTCACACCTGAAAGATCTGAAAGTGAAAGTGATAAGTGGCACTGCTCCTATTACAGGAAAAGAAAAAGACAGGCTGCTTTGGGGGTGACCAGCCCAGAAGAGAGTCTATTTGGGGTTCATTTTAAAAAGAGAGCAGGGACATGAGTGTAGGGAAATTTTGGGAATGATGAAAATTAAACAATGTATTTTATTGTAAATGAACTTCAACCCAAACAAGGTAATTTCTCTAAAAAGAAAAAAAAAAGGAAGGGCTAGAAAAGATCATGAACCCTAGATTGCATGCCAAGATCTGGCAAAGAAATCACTGACATAGCAAGCTGAGCTGATAGTAGTAATAAAACACTAATCTGTATGTCAGCTTGTTTCCCTTTATGCTTATCTGTTTTCTAGGTTTTCTGCATCAATCTATTGTTATCATAGATGGAAAAATTAACAACAAATATTCTTTTACAAAAGAATACAGGCTGCACGTGTCAGGCCTGACTGCAGAACAAGCACGTTACTGGAGACTGTCCAAGAGGGTTGACCCTGCCACGTCTCCCCATGTTTTCCGTTTTAGCCTATACGCTGTGCCATTTTGAAAGGAGAATGAATTGACATTGACATCATAAATGTCATTCAACTTACGTTGCATCAACCTTCTCCACCCCACGGAAGAAGCTGACGCCATCTGAAGTATTTCGCAAATGGTGGCATTTATCATCGATCCGGTAAGCTGTCTGTTTATCACTCAGGTCCTTTTCCAGCTCATGCTGGGAAGCTCTGTTAGCTCTAGAACACAGAGTGGGGAGACAGAACTTCAGCTTTAGGTAACATTGTCCAGCACTGCCCTTCCATGCTGGAACCCACTCCCTTCTGCTCCCTGAGTCTCCTCCTACACACAGTGTTGAAGTTGTCACTTCAAAGGAGCCTTTTCTGGACTCCCACATATGTGAGTAATTGGAAGAATATTCTAATGCCCTCACAGCCCCTTTCATGGGGTGAGGTGGGGCTTGGGAGAAGATGTACAAATAAACAGAAGCCAGGTATCTGGAGCCCAGACAGGACATGGTTTAGAGTGATCTGTCCACATCTGGGCCTCCTTTTCCTTCCTTTTCCTTTCTATATCCTAGCCATTCTCGTTTCTTTGAGTGCAACTCCCTGAGAACTTGTAAGGCATTTATAACCCAGCCTCTCTCCATCCATAAGTAACTTGAGTTTGTGGTCATGCTAGATAGAAGTTTGCGAGAAAAAAGAAACCAAGGGTCAAAATTAGCCTGCAGGGAAGGTGTCAGAGTGCCAGAGAAGAGATCAGAAGGTCCATGTGCTCTGACAGCCACTGTCCTGGGTAGAAAAAGGCCTGGTTTGAGTTTGGAGATACATAGGGTGCCAGGTAGAAAGGACATCCGACACTCATTATCAAAGAGAAAGTCCTAGGAGATGAACATGGGAGACAGGAGAGCCACATCTCTGTTCTTGGAATAGAAGTTCACTCAATAAATAATTAATAGATGCCTACTACATGCCAGACACTGGGAGATATCAATATAAACATGACAAAGCAAACATCTCTTTGCTGATTTAGTTTCTATTCTGCTGGGAAGAGGCAGGTAATACCCACAATGATAAGCAAATCATGTGTTTTGTTAGCACAAGAAAACAAAAAAAAAAAAAGTAGGAAAAAGTGGGCCATGAACCAGATAGTGCAGGGGCTCACTGAAAGAAGCCCCTGGGTAAAACAAGAGACCACTCATTGGCCCACAATTTTAATGGATTATTCTGATACTGTGTAGAGAACAGACTGCAGGGAATGGGAAGATTACTAGGATCCAGATGCAGTTATCCAAAGAAGAGGTGATGGTGGCTTGAACCCAGTGGCCAGTGTAGCAGGAAAGAGATGAGAAGTGCTCAGAGTATATTTTAAAGATAGAACCAAGATAACCCCCTAGGGGACTGGACATCAGTGAGAAAAAAGGAATAGAAGGTTTGTAATCAGAATAGCAGAATTCCATCAACTGAGATGGGTAAGGATACAGGTGAGGAGGCTGGAGAAGACAGAAGTTGACCCTCTGAGCTTGAGTGTCCATTAAACATTCCAAGTGGACATACCAAGTATGTTGTTGGAATTTGTGAGAAATTTCTAGGCTAGAAATAAAAGTTTGGGTATCATTAGCACGCAGGTAGAAAAACAGAACACTGGGTGATTTTAATCATTTGTCTATCCCCACACCCTAAAATGGTCTTGGTATATGGGAGCCACTCAGTAAAGTTTGCAATGAATGAGTTAATTCTAACTGTGATTTCCTTTTAACTTAGCCAATGCCTGAATGAGTCAGTTGAGTTGAGCTCTTTTTGTTTGTTTGTTTGAATTTGTAAAGTATAAATGAGGGTGGCAAGATACAGGCTATCTATGTTTGTGTGCAAAAGTGAAAGGTGAGGAAGCTGCCTTTCCTGGCTTTTCTGTATTTGGTCTCTTTCTTAAGGTTATTGTGTTGAAACTCTGAAATTAGAAAACCTTTCTCATTTGTGCTCTGGGAATCAGATGACCTATGGGTTTCCCCTCTTGGGAAGACACTCTTGACCAGGAGGTGCTGACCTCAGAACCTCCTTCATAGGTGCATGAAGCAGTACTCCATTGACCTGTCTTGGAGCCCAAGGCAGGAAGAATCTTGACTGCCATAATGGTGTCGAATGAGATTCCCTTTTCAGCCCAAATCTAAGTGGAGGGCTTCATTGTGGCTCCAAAACAAACATTAGGGGCCACATTAGGGTGCCAGGTGGAACCAGTGGCCACATTAGGGGCCCAGAACCCCACAAATCCTTGAGATGTCATTCCAGAAATTTCAGCCTACTGTGTAGTAAAAGAAAGCTTCACTCTCTAAAGGATCACAAGCAAAAATTGCAAGCAAGGGCAAATGCAGAGACAGAATTTTCTGTCAAGGCCTGCAATAGGCCAGTAATGAGGCCATTGGTAAGAGGGATGATAGGACAAGGTGGCTATTCCATAGTGGGACCATCTAGGCCAAGAAGAGCAAAGAACACAGAAGATGGGCAGCACATTCTGGATTACAAAAGAAAATCAGGACTAGGAACTAAGCCAGAGGAAAACAGAATAGAAATGATTCTTTGAACTATAAGATGTGTTCCTAAGGAACAGAAACCAGAAATTAATATCAGTACTGTACTGCCTTACATTTATAACTTAAGCATGTGCAGTCACCTTTAGTTAACCTTTTACTTTCCTCACCAATTTCTGGATCAAAGAACAGCTCAAGGGAAAGCTCAGCCATCTAAACCTCACTGACCATCCCTTCCCAGTGTCAGCCCTGAAGGGTAGGACGGGAGACTGAGTAAGCAGAGCCACTTATTCCTTTAGGTGTATCACGTATTTTCCTTGAAAATATTAGTATAAACAGAATCATCATCTCCTTTGTGTGACACATTCAACAGTACTACTTTCCAAGGCCATGACCTAGTGAACACTGACCTTCCTTACTCCTATTTCTATTTTCCTTATTCCTGTGACCTTCCTATTAAAAGTTAGACTGGCTAATACTTTTTCTATGTTGACAGCTGTTATCATTGCTGTCATCAATTCTTAAGACTATTCTCACTGCTTGATTATTACTGTCTGCATGCCCTTTCCCATACCATAAATGCTATCTTCCTGTTATCTACTGTTGCCGAAAAAAGAGAGATTGGTGTCTGACAAAGATTGGAGATGGCAGTGGGAGTCAGTGAGTGCGGCAATAGGGTGATCGCACAGCAGGTTCTCCCAGGAAATCAGGGTGAGTCTCCAAGGAGATATGTGAAACAAACATGTAAGTGAGCCATATTTATGACTTTTCCAACTGCTGGGCTGAACTTACACAAACCAATCTCTTATCAAAGAATAAACCTTTTAAGTTAAAAGAATCCTTAGCCACACTCCCAGTTAGGGCAGAAATTCTTTCTATGGCTTCTCAAAATTATTCTTTAAATAAAAATATAAAGCAAGTATTCAGTTAAGCTTTGAATAAAAACGTGTATGTGAACTTGTGTCTGCACATGGGTACACATATGTGCATTTCCATATCTGAGAAATCCTTATAAAAGAGAAACCTGAATGGGAGACACGAAAGTCTAGATTCATGATACATTTTAAATCATATGGAGAAATAAAGTTCTTACGCAAGTTGGGCAATGGCCTTATCCAAATGCAGCTTCATCCTTTCTTGACAACATAGAATAATATCAACTTCCTACTCATTTGAGAAAAGAAACACATTCATTAATGTTTTCATCCTTGAGTATACCATCAAAATCAATAACATAGCAAAACATTGAGGAAGGAAAACTTTGTTTCTGGAAGAA